GGAATCAGTTCGCAATGCACAGCCTGCCGCAGATCCTGCAGGCTTCTGTGTTAAGTTTAACATTTACATTTGTTTTTTTCAGGCATAACAATGACTTTTGTTAACAAAATCTGGTACCAATGCAGTATATGCTCTGCAGTTTCAGGTTGCCACCCTCACATTTATATTGCTGTAGAATCTATGATGGGCTTTCTTTCTATATGTGGCTACTGAGACTCTTGCATCCTGTTCCGAGTTTAAAGTAGTAACCTTGTCCGGTAAATATTGCCCTGTAGCTGAATAGATTATGTTGTGAGTGACTGTACCAGATATTTTTTTTTCTCTTGGTATGCAACAAAAGGTCTGTCTCAGTGTATTAGTCAATTTCTTCAGCTCTCTCATTCTCTTGTGTATCACCCAAAGATGGAACCACTGCTGAATAGATCTGTATTGACATATTTGACAGTAATCCATTTTGTAGGTCCTGGAGCTTGCTGAACAGTGTGTCAGTAAGAATTACTACAGGACATATATTATCTTCTGATTTCACAAATTTCTCAAAGTGTACTTAAGAATTCTAAAGGTGCAGTTAAGATTACTCTGGCCTCAGAATCACAGCTGGTGCGGAATATTTTTGTTTTAGATGTTTCTGTTAATTACCGAATTTGTTTGAATACAACAGTCTCTCTATTTGCTGCAGCAGTCACTGGATAAAAGCCATCAGGTGTTTACCCCAAGTTTTTAGCGTCACCATGGTTAACCAGTTTTGTGGATAGAATTCATTTGTACCTACAGCAGAATCACAGCTGAGACAACAAATTTGGCATGTCTTCTGTTGGTGGCAGTCAGTCAGAGGTAATCAAGTGATAAATAAACATTAAACTTGTGGTGAAGTAGGAGACGATCTTTTCGTCCAGGAGTATGAGCGGATTTCGGCATCAGCGGTCTTCATGTCTCACTGCTGAAGTATGGAACAGTTTCCATCAGAGAGAATCTGAACTGGAACATCGAAAGTTCAATACATCAAGTCAGTGAGCTAACCTTGTGGATCTGAGACATTGTGCTTTCCACTGTAACCCTGGACCATCACATTAAAAAGTTGACTCCTATGAAAGTTTACTTGGCCTTGATCCAAGCTTCTTTGCCCTGCACATCTGAACCCACCCCATTACTAGAAGCCCCTGTAGACTTGCCAAGTTCATTCAGCAGTGGAAACTGGCTGGAATTTGTGTGCTGCTGCTGATGGTAGCTGATGTCCTCTGCCGACAGGAATTGTCCACAAATCTTGCAGTCTGCGAGTCTGCCGGAGCCACCAGTAATTGGCCTTGCACGTGCTTGATGAGCCTTCCAAAGCTCCCTTTGCTTGCCTATGTCCGGCAGGAGAGCTAGCAGCTCTGGAAACACTTTATCAAATTCTACATCTCCCATGAGAGCTTGGCAACTCATATAGTAGCTGTTAGCATCCATCAGACCTTGTCGAAACTGAGCAGACAAAACTTTGAAATTGGAAAACCCTTCATCAACTGTTGCCAAAGCCTCACGGATGTCTTCAATCAGCTTCAAATTTCTAGATTTGAACTCTACCGGCTGAATATAGGCCACACTTGGAGAAAACCCTGGAGGTGTGGATGGAATGGAAGATCTTGGAGCTGGTGGGGCAGATGAAACAGGCATGCTCGCAAATCCTGGGGGTGCTGATATGGCAGCCGTTCCTCGAGGCTGAGGTGGAGCTGCAAAGCCTGGGGGTGGCTTGGGCTGCTGTATTGAAATAGACATTGCATGCAAAGAAGGGAAACTTGAGCTGTCGTCAATGGGCAAGGGACTTGTGACAGTTTTCTTCAAGGCAACATCCTCCTTAGTTTTGGACTGAAAGTCTTCAGAAAAGTTGCTTGGATTGTCAAACCAGTCCAGTAGTTTCACAGGTTTCTTGACTGACTGACTGACTGTGCTGGGTGGACTCCCCTTGTGGTCACTGTCATCTCCAGGCTGCATCAGTGCCAAAGCAATGTCACCCAAACAAGCATTTGCATCTTGGGAGGGTTTCACGTTAGCATTTTCTTCTTTTTTCACTTTCTTCTTTTTCTTAGCTTCATCTTTAGATTTAACTTTACCTGTGCGGGCTGGGAGTCCAGGAAATTCCTCAGGGTTGTTAGCTGGAGCAGGCTTGCGATGTGTCTTCTCTGTTGTAGCAACGCTTTCAACAAGACTTTTAACCATGTGCACATTACCTTCACTAGAAGCTTCTTCAGATGGCCTTTGGTAGCTTTCAGGTAGCTCAAATGATTCATCATAATGTTTCTCTGGCTTGGGTTTCTTTTTACTACTCTGTTTACTCCAGTCTGGTGAACTGGCAAACACACCATTACTCTTGGGCGCACCTCCGACAGATAGTTTAGGGAACTGGTTACTGTCTATTACAGGCATATTTGTATTTAGTTTACTCTTTGGCTTCTCATTCTTCAAGCTCTTACTACCTGATGTTCCAGAATTTATTACAGCACTATTAGCCTGAGATTTTTTAACCCAGTTTATGGGACCTGCTTGTGGTACCAAGCTTTGTGCTGGTGTACCGCCCCCTAAGGTCGGATATTCTTCTTCTGAATTTTTAGGTACAAATGCAGGATAACCTTTGGATATTTTAGTGGTGGGCCCTATTAGAGCAGGTTTAGGTGCAGATGAACTGCTGGTCAAAGCAGGATATTCATCTTCTGAGTTCTTCTGCACTGGTGAAGATTGCTCCTTAGCTATTCTGGCAACAGACCCCAGTGATGCAGGCTTATTTGAAAATAAACTGCCCCCTAAAGAAGAATCATTGTCTGAATATTTGGGTACAGATGAAGAATATTCTCTAGATATTTTAGAAAGCGACCCCAAAGAAGCAGGTTTATTTGAAGATAAGCTGCCACCTAAAGATGGATAGTCATCCTCAGATTTTTTTGGCAGTGACAATACAGGCTTGTGTGAAGTAGAGCCTCCACCTAAAGACGGATATTCATCTTCTGTGTTTTTGGGCGCAGACCTGGGATACTCTCGGACTCTAGCTACCGACCCCAATAAAACAGGCTTTGATTCTTTCACAAGAGGGGCAGCTGGCTTAGTATCAACTTGACGATTCATGACTGTTGAATAAGCTTTGGTTTGGGGCTGTGTCTGCTGTTTGTTGCCTCTGGTGGCTGACAGTGATGGGAAGTCTTCTTCAGGGCCACGAGTCGGTCTTGCCACAGATGGTACACTAACTGGGGCAACAGCTCCATTGAGAGCTGGGAAATCTGCCACTGGGTCTGGCACACGTTCTTCAGAGACTGGTGGAGCATCTGCACGGGTAGCTTCCTTGGATGCTTCAATAGCCCGGTAAAGATCAGCATCGTCTGAATCATGGTCCCGACTGAAAAACAAGACAAGTCTATTGTGAGCAATCTTGTATTTATGTTAAAGTAACATTACTTTTGAAAAAGTATGTGACATTTTTATAATCTTAAAAACTCTACTTTCATATAAAATATAGATAAATAATATCGAGATTCACGTTTCTAAAGAAACATTACCTGTCTATATGAACTCTTCTCACATCACATAAAGCAATACATTTCATTTCTTCTTCTTCATTCGCCGGGTGTAAGTTCCAGCAGACAGCCCTGGCCTTCGTCGATTTGGACCTTGGCTTTGTGTCAGGGCATGAGTTTTGTGTGTACATCCGTTTTACTTGTTTATTTGTGCTCTGCTGTTGTTCCATTTGTGTGCAGCTCTTGTTCCTTGCTAATTGGGCAGATCTATTCCGACTTTGAAGGAAGCCCACAATTGGTCGACTCCTACGACATGCTTGTTGGGGAGGCAGTGGGTCTATCCTTGTTTTCTCCACTATGGGGCCCCGAAACCCACACAGAGAAGATTTCTTTCAAGAGCTGTGAATATTTTATTAAAGACATACAATTATGTAAAGATATAAAATATGTAAACTAAATACCTGTAGGAAAGACAACTTCATAACTGTTTCACAATCTCACATTTGGGAAAGAAAAAAAACCAAACTGAGTACTGTAGATGTAAAAAAAAAATTTTCAAAAGGATCACCAGAAAGAAACAGCAGCATTCAGCCAAGTCATTAAAAAAAAGATGAACATGAATATGTGGTGGTAACCAAGGGGTTTGGAAAATTTCCTGTCTGTTTCAATGGCTTTTAAGTGGCACTGAAGCCTAGCTCATGTGTGTTTGAAGATTACACAAAGCAGGTGTGTCATAAAGTTTCTTTCAATATGAAGCCAGCTTTAGGCCTCAGAAATTAGATATCTAAGAAAGGTGGTCCAAGTGACAATAAGGGACAAAGTCCTAAATCAGACAATACATCAAGATCTTGATACCCAGTCCTTACAAGCCCAAGTGGATCGGTCACAGTTACAATGGTTTGGACATGTATGCAGAATGGGAGAAAATCGACCACCATGGCAGGCATGGGAGGCTAAGAACCTGGGAACCAGACCTCTAGGGTGACCCAGGGTCTGCTGGGAAGACAACATCTGACAATACCAAACTGAGAGGACTGGAATGGAAGAAAGCCAAAAAGAAAACTGCTGATAGAGACATCTGGCGATCTCTCTGGCAACCTCTACACCCCAAGGTAGAAGAGGAGCGACTAAGTAAGTTTTCCAACTTTAGACAAGGGTACTAAACAAAAGTTAGTACTACAATGAAATACCAACTTCTAATCAACTAAATGATTCAGTGCTTCAATGAAATAGCAGTTTCTGATGAACTAGATTAGGGCTATTCAACTAAGCTTACTCAAGAACTAAAATTAGAAAAAAAGGGATCACCAAGGGTTAGAGGCCAAGCTCTAGTATACAAAGATCATTAATACAATACAATGGCAATGATCTGCGGGCCACTACATGGGCCCTGGTGAGCCTAATTTGGCCCGCAAGTTGAATATCCCGGAACTAAATGCTTCAGTGCTTCAAGGGCCAAAGAGAGGGAGAAAAAAAATGATACAATAAATAAACTCCCATAAATGTATTGGAACTTACCGTCTGTTATAACGATCACCCCTCCCTCGTCCTCCACCAGTTTGTCTTTCATCAAAATCATCTGAGGACAAACAATGAATTGAAACATTCAAATGGAGCTAATTTTCATTTTATTTGCTGTTCAGTAATGTCTACACAAAAGGTCCAATTTTCTTGTTAGTAAGAGGATGGCTGAAACTGTTTGCTAAAGTATAAAAGAATCAAAGAATGTGTCTGAAATATGCTGTGAACGTTATTCCTCCCCCTGAGTTTTTAATTCTTCCATCATTTCATCCCCCTCCCACTTTTGTTTTGAGTAAATCCAAGATATAAAATCACAGGTACAAAGATGATGATGCAAGGACAGCGCGGAGCAAGATACAAAGGAGACAAACACTGTACAGATCAGAGAGAATATAAATCTCAATAGTGAAAGCAACCTTCTGCAAGACACACAAAAACATACCAGCCAAAAGGTGTCAACTGCAGTCAGAAAAAGAGTGTTACTGTTACAGGGTCATAAAAAGCCTGTACTTATTTATGATGTGAAACATGGACAACAAACACAGGCTGAAAAACGCATGAAGTAGATAAGATGCGTATTCTGAGTGAAAATGCAAAGAATACCGTCAATTCATCCTCGTCGCGCCCAGAGGCAAATAAGGCAGAGACAAATATCACCACCAAATTCGATCCTGAGCCATTCTCTCTATCTCCAGTTTTGTCCTTCGTGTAGCCTTGAGTTCGGTCTCAAAGGTTCCTCTCCAAGTGCCTTTGCGCCTGCCTCTTCTTCGCTGTCCTTGTAGTGTCCATTGCATTGCCTGTCTCGGCCATCTCTCTCTCTTCATTCTGAGGACGTGTCCAACCCACCCCCATTTTTATTTTTATTTTTGAATTTACATCTTCTTTTAAGTTTTTCGTTTGTTGTAATCTGTTGCTGATTGTAACTTCCCATGTGAACCCCAACACTGAAAAGTCTTTCCTCAAAGCCTCTTAGCATGCTTTCTTTCTGTTTTCCAAGTTTCTGCTTCACAGAGGAGATCTGCCCTAATAAATGTTTTGTATATCCTGAGTTAGTTTTAGTGCTGTAGATGTCTGATCTCCAGATACTCTAAAGTCTGTTGTAAGCAGCATTTACCTTTGCAATTCTCTGCCTGATTTCAACCAATACATTTCCATCCAAGAAGATATTGCTTCCCAGGTAGGTTAAATCAGTTACGGTTTCCAAACTTACATTATCTATTATTATAGGTCTTTCACTTTTGGGGTTTATCTCCAGCAGTTTTGTTTTGTTGACACTGATTCTGAAGCCTGTCTTTTGCTATTTCTGTGATATGCCTTTTATTGCAGATGTTCTTTGCTTTGGCTGATGACACAGATATCTGCAAAGTCCAAATGTTCCAAGTGTTCGAGAAGGTTCAACTGAAGGCCGTCCATGTGCCTTTGGTTGCTTTTTTCGTAACATAATCTATCACTTTGAGAAACAAGAAACGTGTCGGACTCCTGATGTTACCCTAAAGATTCTGTTTCCATGAGTCCTTTTTTCACTTTGCATTAGTATCCTTCATAGAGTTCTTTTAATATATTGATAACTTTATCTGGCAGCCCATACGCAGCAAGGATCCTCCACATCATTGTTCCATCCAGACAGTCAAGGCCTTCTAAAAGTCTATAAAGTTTAATACCATAAACAGACATAAAACAAGGCAGTTCTACAAGAAACTGATGGACAGTATAAACTGACCAGAACCTGACAAATCAGACACAGAGAAGAACTGCTAGGTATGTTGGGAGGAGAAATGAACTTGTAAATTCAGGGACAGCTGAAAAACCTGATAGTAATTAAGCTAGAGGAAGAGAACAGAAATACACACCTGGGTAGTTAGGTCACGTGACATAAACAAGAAAAGAATACTTTCTTTGGGACTGGAGACTGTTAAGATGGTCAACTATGACTGTTCAATGCTTACTGGCATGACATGTGACATAATAAAGAAAGAGATTGTTAACTCTCTCAGTCCGAAGGAATGCATCATACATTACCACCTAAAACCCCCAGTAAACGCAAGATTTGTTGATTTTACATGTCTTTACTACTCCTTGGGCCTCTGATACTAAATCACCTCACCTGGGACTGAAAGAGTTAAAATAACCGGCTATGACTGCCCATGCTTACTGGCATGTCATATAATCACGAGGATTAATAAAGCATGTTTGTTGTCCTGCTTATTAGATATTAGAGAGAAGCGAGAGACAACATACAGAATCTAACCAATGAAGTGTCTGATAGACATCAGTGGCTCAAATCTTGCTAGCACACAAAACTAACCTCTATTTCCTCCTGGGCGCCTGCGTGACATCTGGAAGTCCACCTCAATTGTCCTGGCTTCCCGAGACTGAGCCTTGGACAAGTTTTTATTGTGTGCCGAAGCTCTGTGAGCCTTGAGATCAATTTCCGAAGCAAAGGCATGAGTAAAACGTGTGCTGGGGTTGCCACACTCTCCGTCTGTACATAGGAAGTGTGTCTCCGAGAAGTGCTTCATCAAATCTGGATACTGGCTGCAAGAAAAGAATACATCCCCTTTCAGCACACAAATGCCAAAAATTGATTAAATAATCTCTTGCCGGTAAATATAAATTTTTTTTTACATAATGTATCTGTGAAAGGGTCTCTCCCTTCTCAGCCCATTACACATTCATCCCTTGAGACCACATTATGTTGGTTTTAACTCAATGTTTATATCTCCCCAAATCACACTAGGTAAATCTTAGCTCTACACACAGATCTCCCCCTTAGACCGTGCTAGCTAGATCTAAATTCTGTGCAGTGAGTTGAGAGCTAAGTGTGATCTGGCATTGGGACTCTCAAACATGGTAGCTTTGCCATCAGGGAAAAAGATTTAGAAGACAGTATCAAGCAGAGCTACAGTCAATGGATTCAGTTGAGTACAATGACGTTTAAAAATGATCACCTGCTCTTAGCAGGATCCAGGAAAACTTTTTTGAACAGTCCTGGATACATGCATAAACAGATAAATTAGCAACAGTGTTAAAATGGAGGTGTTGGCATCTTTATCACACAGCAGAGATCCTAGCACTACAGCAGGCTACGAAAATGTTACACTACATCAGTTCTTACTGCCACCAAGTGGTCATCTTCGCACTATCAGTGCTCCAACCCCCCAATAGTGGTAAACTCCGTCACCTGAGGTCTGAACTTGGCAAAGTGTGTGCCAAAAAGCATACTGTACTCCAGTGGGTGCCATCCCACTGTGGTACAGCAGAAAATGAAGTTGTAAATAAACTTGCTATGAAAGGGGCAGAATGTGAACAGGAAGAGAAGACAGTAACATACTTTGAGAACAAAAAAGCCATTAAGTATTTCAGAAGTGAACAGAATCTGGCCACAGATGACTACCATTTACTTGACAGGCATTGAAAGGTCATTATTCTACGCCTCAGGACAGGGCAAAACAAATTTAACAAGCATGTACAAAGACTTTAAGTTCGCCACTGTGCACATATGGAGTGTGTGCAGACTACAGAACGAGTCCTGCCAGAATTTCCCTTGTACAGCCCATTAAGAAGAAAACACTGACCCAGGGAGGCAACATTTTACTCAAAGTTGTATGGAACTGAGAGGGAACTTCTGTTGAACACAGACCAGTGCCATAAATCAGGAAGGTCAGAAGCCCAGTTGTCTATGGCAAAAGAAATCATGTCTTCACATTCTGCCACGGCTGGTGTATCTTTTGAATCTTCTGTACTATTCAAGCAACAGGAGACGAGAGAGATAGACAAGGGTAAGGGTGGGTGAGAGAAAGAGGGCGGAGACAGATACTAAACAACACTGACTTACTCATAGTAAGCATTTGAGCCCTGCTGGTCGCAGAAATGGCAGAAGAAATGATCCTTGCGCAAGTGTCGGAGCAGGTCATCTTTGTCGTTGTACCTGGTATCACAAAACTCACACAGAGGGTGACCCTTGTAAGACTTGTCATCCTCATCCCCCACCCTGCGATGGATAGCTAGGTGTTTGCGGTTGTAGAACTTGCGCTCAAATGGAAATATCTAACAGAGAAATATTTTATCAATATTTTTTCGCTGTATGTAACACACAAAACCAAAAACTAACTGATAAATGTACAAAATTCAACTAGTTGATGATTAATAGTAAACCTCTGGTATATTAATACACTCTGAAAACATAAAAATGAAACTGCTACAGATAAACTGGACAGTTCGAGAGTTTGGATTCTGGAGAAAGCCCTGTTAGAAGCTTGAAACAGGAAAGAAACTTGACGGAAAAGCACCGCCAAGACAGGAGCCTGCAACTTAATTTGACTCAATACCATTATTATTATTCTATTTGCTCTTCTTACTGGTTTTTGTATTTTTTTCTTGTTCACCGGCTGTAAGCTCCAGTGGAAAGTTCTGGTTGTTCATCCACGACCAGACTTTGGACTTGTTCCAGAACCTGAGTGCTTCATGCACATACATTTCACAGATCTGACTTATTTGTATGCAGACTGTTGGGACCTTGCCTCACAGGCAGAAGCACTCTGACTTAAAAGGAAACACCTAATTAGTCAACTCTTATGACATGCTTGTTGGGGAGTCAGTCTTGTCTATTCTAGTTGTCCCCACAATTGGGCTCCGGAACTCACAACAGGAGTTATCAGTTGTAAAATTGGGGGGAAGTCCTGGTTGTTTGTCCACTTCTGGTATTTGTTCTTGCTCCAGGATTTGCTCCATGTGTTACGCAGACATCCACATTACAGATCTGGCACAGATTGTTGGTTCCTTGCCTCTCAGGCAGATACTGTGAAGGAAATGTCAATCCTTTCTTTTTGTCAGGCTTCCAGTTCAAAAACAGCTGTTATCAACCTGCAGGTTACGACCTTTTTTTGGGGGGGGTCGAACAAACCTTTCATGTGTGTCGCCTAAGACCATCGGGAAAACACAATTATTGAAGTTATGAAGGATAACTGTTTGGGGGTCACCACAACTTCAGGGAACTGTATTAAAGGGTCGCAGCATTAGGAAGGTTTAAAGCCACTGCTCTAGAAAGACTGGAGAGGTGGAGATAGGTTCTGACCAGTTTGAGTCCTGGTGCACTACTAAATGCGATTCAGCACCTCGAACATCCCATTCATTACTATTAGAATTCAAGCATCTCCCTAGCCTTTTATTTATGTTCATTTATTCATTGCCCTATTGTGCCATTACATTTCAAACAGGGCATGAGGTCTATTCCTCCATTACATTTTATCTTGTACCATTAATTCAATATTATGGAAGACATCCATTCCAGTACCTCTGGCCTCTCTTAACACTTTACTGTTTCTTCTGGGCGTCCTTGCTTCTACAATCCTTTTAGTTCCCATTTTAGTTAGTGCCTCTTGTGATTATCTGCTGGTTTCTTCTCGGTATTTGTCCAATATAGCACTAGTGATTTCTCAGATATTTTTCTTTATTTCTTTACCCCCTTTTTTTTTTTCTCAGGCATTTGTTTTTAAATGCATTTAACTTCTGCTCCATGTTTTTAGTGATTCCCCAACTTTCACTGCCATATGTCAAAATTGAAATAACAGAATCTAAAATAAATAACTTGGATTTAAAACTATACAATTTAGAGTTCCATATTTTATCTATAGTAAATGTATTTACATTATAGAATAATCTCCAAATAGGACAATAAAATCTTCCATAAAATCAGATAAAAAATGCAATAAGAATACTGAACAGTGAAGTGGAAATGGGAATACCATGAGGTTAGAGACACAGAGGTCACAGGCAAAAAGTTCATGCTCCCGCCTCATGTGTGTCTGCAGCTGAGCAAATGTCCGGTCAGGACCCCGGTTCTGGCAAGATGGCATCTTGCAGCGGAACTCCAAGAGTTCCAGAAAGCTATCTTCCACATCTTTATCTTCAAAGAATATTTTGTATTTGCGGTTGGGTATGCAATCCCTCAGGCTGATGTCCTTGAACTGTGTCTTCTTGTACACAAAAGCAACCTAGGGGAAAAAAAAGGAAACTGCAATGGTGAGCTGGGCACATGAACAGTTCATATGTGTTTGTGGGGTGTGGGGTTGTATGCTGTCAAGAAAGGAGTTATATATGTGATGAATACAGTGATGCCCTATAATACAACAGTCAAGATGAGAGTTAACGGTTCTCACATCATCGGCCAGCTCGCCAGCTGTATTAAGCCGGTCATGAGAATTATACTGTAATTTTACAATGATGGAGGAGTGAACTGACCGTACGGTAGGAGAGGACCAAACAAACTGTGCCTGATCTTTTTAAAGGCAACATGTATGTATGTTTGTGCTTCTAGTGTTACCTTGTAACAGTTTTATTTTGTTATGTTAGCAACAGCCTATTCGCAAATGCCTGAGTTTGGATTTGAGTGCGGATAAGACCAGGAAGGAGATGAGAGCATGAAATCTTTAAAACCAGCATTTTACTGAAACAATCAATACTAATACCTTGCCATCACCCATGAGTTTGACTAGAGTGCTATGCTGAACAGCATGACAAGAAAATGACATTTTTTTAAACAGTAAAGGACCATTTTCCTACACCTTTGGGAATATTCTGAATTTAGGGTTAGTTCGCAGTTTTACAGAAAATACTAATTACTTGAATATATTCCCAAAGTTTACTTCAGCTATTCACTGGATACTTGCTGCTAATATAGGATAATAGTGACCTATGACCTTATAACCTAAGCCCACTATGTAGATCACATGACAGCTGATAAGGTGATCAGTGTCCCACCCCAGCTGAATTATGCTGCTTACCTAGCAAAGACAACTAGAGATACACAGAGATGTCTATGATCACCACTGTAATAATGAATTAGTACCAAAGTGTTATCAGAAGTGGCGTAGTCACTAATACTCTTCCTTACCAGGAGTAGTGTAATGTAGGAGAGAATTTGCCTGCCAGAACCTACTAGGTGCCCTAATGGTGGAATACCACTGAGAAATGGGGTCAGCTATGATGTAAGCCAGAGTTCTGCCCAAATAATCCATCACAGATTCATTGACTGTTACCTAAACCATGTTACCCGCCACTTCTGTTTCCAGTTACGATAGCCAGATTTCTGTCAAGCCACATTTCTTAACAAACCTTTTGCTCACTTAAATGTAAATTATTTTTAAGCATTGAAAACAATGTACAGATATGTTTGCATTACCTAAACAAAAATGGCCACCAACTGCATGTGCTAGTTTCTGAGGGTCAAGTATCTTTTCATAAACTATAATAAAAGCACCACAATGATAGGACACTAGTCTACAGTACCTTCTATGCCATAGTATTCCATATCTATTTAGAAATTTGTCAGTTAAAAGCGAAAATGAAACTCAGATGTCAAGGTTCCTAGAAGTAGAATAAACTAAAAGTGAAAGCTCAAAGTGTCTCCTGAGGCAAAAAGACAAGCCAAACACGATAATTCTTTCTTCAACCTGCAGCTGTTAATCAATCTGAACATTGCAATCAGTGGAAATTAACAGCAAGGTCTACACATTTATAAAAAAAAAGAAACGACAAAAGTTATCATTCATGACCGGGGGGGGGGCGAGCAACTAGACTGTACAGAGACAAAAGCTGAAAGATTTTATGAAAGGCTTCTTATACAATATCATTACTTTATAATTTTCTAGGACGCGGAAGGATAAGAGAAGGCTGGACCTCGAGCCCGGGCATGTAGGGACACACAGCTAGTGCAAACATCCTAACCTGCACAGGTGTAATCTAACAGAATATTTTATTTTTACTGACAGAAAAATATGTCACCTTACCAAGGTTTTTTTTAACTTGGTTCTACTGAATGACAATGCAGCATTTAAAATTCTCTGCCAGATGCTCATGAAATTATATGCTAATTAAAAGGTTTAATTCCTCGCAGCACGGTCTTTCTCCACACATAAGCTGTATGTTGTGAGTGCCAAACACAACACACAACTCCACAGTTCCATTCAGGACATGATGGTCACTGAGTAAATACTTGCATGTGTGTATTCATATTATGTATTTTGTTAACTGCTGTGTGAAAGATAAGTGTTTGGAGTAACTGAATGTAAGACGAGGCTATATGTCCAATTTGTGACACTCTGAAAATAAAGTTTGTCCATTCATTCATGATGTGAATGACAGATTCTCTAAAAGAACCCATGACTTTCAAAGTATGGGGCAAACCTTCTGAAGTCTGTAAGGTCAAGTAAAACAGATGTGAACAGAAACAGAATGACACAATAAAATCCAAGCAAAGGCAGATTTCTAACAGGGAGAACATTTCTGAGCATAGAAGAAATTTATGAATTTACATACTGATTATGCTACTGTATACTTCATAATTACTGTCATTAAATAATGAGAGTATAATTAAATAAGACCACTGTGAGATCTAGAATGCTAAGATTTCCATGGAGACAGCTGATATAACAATATACAAGCACAGAAAGAGGCCTATTCATGAAGACAAACCATCTGGCCAACACAGCTATCATTTTTGTGATGTTACAACAGAACCACTGAGGGGGAAGATGGTGGATGGGTTGACAAACTGGCATGAAAGTGCAAGATCGCCAATGCAAACAAAACACTCTATACTCAGCACACCTATTAACTATAGACAAAGCTCTATGGTCATACAGCCCAGTGGTTTTTTAATTTTCTGTAGGCTGTAGATATATTTTGATTTACATAGTGTGTATACGTTAAATTAATAGAGAAGTAACCGGTCAATCTTGATTAGTTCATATTTTGTGTTATCCATTTGAGGGAAACATTTTAATCAATATTTAAATATATAAAGATCAATAATGAATTGTTAGTCATTTGATATTAGTTATGGGCGGTTGGGCCTGACAAAGATAGTTTAATTTTTCAAAGGCCAAATATGAAAATTAAATGACTGATGGAAACCTTTTAAATGGGCGGTTGGGCCTGACAAGCAAAGATAGTTTAATTTTTTAAAGGCCAAATATGAAAATTAAATGACTGATGGAAACCTTATAAATGGGCGGTTGGGCCTGACAAAGATAGTTTAATTTTTTAAAGGCCAAATAGGAAAATTAAATGACTGATGGAAACCTTTTAAATAAATAATACTGGCAAAAGAATGTGTTAGTATTACTATTTACATTTTAGTTATCAGACTAATATTAAATTACTTCTTCTCTGCGTTCACGGACTGTAAACTGAGGCAGAAAGTTCTGGGCGTTTGTTCATCATCTCTCTGAAAATTAGTTTTGTTCCAGAACTTGAGTGTTGCATGCACATACATCCATTTACAGATCTGAATTATACGCAGGCTGTTGGTTCCTTGCCTTTCAGGCAGATAATCATATACATCCAACTTAAAAGGAAGTACCCCAATTAATCGACTTCTTGTTTTCCCCACAGTAGGAACGTGGAATCCATCATAGGATTATTTAATTACTTATTTATATTACTTATTTAATAAGTTATATATAAGACACAATAAGATGCGTTATTTTACTATATATTATATAGTTATTTATATAAAGGAGACAAAACATTGTTTTTGGCCACATAAATAATCATGAGACATGGTAAGAAACAATCAATCAAAATCAAACATTGGAGAACATTGATTGTGACAACTGGAATGATCAGTGGAAAAAGAGGTAGAAGCAGACCAAGAGAGAGACGATGCTGGATGGGCTGAAACAATGGCATGGAGGGATATTATATCAAGAGAGCTGTTGCAGTCAGGCAACCAGGAATCGTGATTTGTGGAGAGGCCTGGGCCTGAGCGCCTCCTACAGCTACTCCAGTTGGCAGGGTACACATGATGATGATATGTATATATATTGCACACATTTTTTTTTAATTTCCAAAAAAGTAATAATACAGTTAAAGTGCAATTCTACCTGTGGCATCTGACTGCGACAAATCGGGCAGTCAAGCTGTTCACACAGAACCCGCATCCTTGTGGAGCAGCGACTACAGACGGGATGATCACATGGCCCAATGGCGAATATCTCAATCAAATCATGACACACTGGACAGACGTTGTCCACACTCTCCGACCTCTCCACTGCTACAGACATGGCTGCCCCTGTCAAAACTGTCTCTAAATCACTAGAAAGTAAACCGAACCTCTGCTGACAACACTTCGATGCCGTGTAAACGTTGCCCGGGTGTCACGTCTCAGTAATACGTGGCTATAACGGTAACATGGTTTGGACTTAGTTTTATCTCCTTCCCCTTAATGGTGCAACACACTGCTTACCGGAAGTACGTCACCGCGCTAAAGATAGCCCAGGACCAGGTACCTTTCCTGTCTATAGCGCAATAGTTTGCTGTTTCTGAATAGACAACAGCTCAGCAAATAAATTCATCTACCCACACCATTTATCTCACCATCCACTCAATGCTATTTTTCACCGCTTCCTTCCATTCTGGCTGTTACCAGTCTTACACTTGGGCTCGACCAACACTTTGTATAAAAATCTCTATTTGATAGCGGACAGTAAGAGAGAAGCACTGTGTTACTAGACTCATGTTTTTACCTCATCTCATATTTGGTCGACCCATCCATCCATCTACGATTCCATTCATCCACTAATACAGTCATCCATCATTCCATCCATTCATCTACACACCCATCCATCCATCTACCATTCCATTCATCCACTAATACAGTCATCCATCATTCCATCCTTTCATCTACCCACCCATCTATCTAGGACACACTCGCCTATCCACACCATCATCCACACATACTGTTTTCCCATCTATCCCTTCATCGCTCCCTTACACTCTGGTTGTTACCAGTCTTACTCTCGGGCTTGACTGATTACTTTTGTATAACAAGCATCCTTACTGTCTCTATTTGATTGCTGACAGTAAGAGAGAAGCATCTATCTATCTATCTATCTATCTATCTATCTATCTATCTATCTATCTATCTATCTATCTATCTATCTATCTATCTATCTATCTATCTATCTATCTATCTATCTATCTATCTATCTATCTATCTATCTATCTATCTATCTATCTATCTATCTATCTATCTATCTATCTATCTATCTATCTATCTATCTATCTATCTATCTATCTATCTATCGATCTATCGATCTATCGATCTATCGATCTATCGATCTATCGATCTATCTATCTATCTATCTATCTATCTATCTATCTATCTATCTATCTATCTATCTATCTATCTATCTATCTATCTATCTATCTATCTATCTATCTATCTATCTATCTATCTATCTATCTATCTGTCTATCTGTCTATCCGTCTATCCGTCTATCTATCTATCTATCTATCTATCTATCTATCTATCTATCTATCTATCTATCTATCTATCTATCTATCTATCTATCTATCTATCTATCTATCTATCTATCTATCTATCTATCTATCTATCATCTATCTATCTATCTATCTATCTATCTATCTATCTATCTATCTATCCATCTATCCATCTATCCATCTATCCATCCATCCATCCATCCATCCATCCATCCATCCATCCATCCATCCATCCATCCATCCATCCATCCATCCATCCATCCATCCATCCATCCATCCATCCATCCATCCATCCATCCATCCATCCATCCATCCATCCATCCATCCATCCATCCATCTATCTATCCATCTATCTATCTATCTATCTATCTATCTATCTATCTATCTATCTATCTATCTATCTATCTATCTATCTATCTATCTATCTATCTATCTATCTATCTATCTATCTATCTATCTATCTATCTATCTATCTATCTATCTAGCTGTCTGTCTGTCTGTCTGTCTGTCTGTCTGTCTGTCTGTCTGTCTGTCTGTCTGTCTGTCTGTCTGTCTGTCTGTCTGTCTGTCTGTCTGTCTGTCTGTCTGTCTGTCTGTCTGTCTGTATGTCTGTCTGTCTGTATGTCTGTCTGTCTGTCTGTCTGTCTGTCTGTCTGTCTGTCTGTCTGTCTGTCTGTCTGTCTGTCTGTCGATATCTGTTTGCAAGCACAGGCACCACTTTTATTCCATGCGGATGGACTAAGGTCATCCCCACAACCCAACCCCGGTTACGCCCTATAGGCCAACCCCTCCCTCCTTAGACACTCAGTGTACGCTGTTAGCGTCCAACGCGTCCATTTTTTTGCCCCTACCTGCGCGTTGGAGGTATATAGGCTGACCGTCGTTTCATTGAACGAAGTTTTTTCGCCAGGGACACTAGATGAGTATCGTTTATTCTATACATTAGAGTCCTATGTAGTCACTTCATAGTTAGAGCCTATTTGTGTATGTGTACTGTGTTGTCCTTTATGTGCTGATGAAGGCTAATCGCCGCAACGTCCTTTGTTTGTTTATTGTGATCGATTTTGTAAAGCTAACATAAACTAATTGTTGTTTCTTACCAACTTTTTCTCTTCCCTATAATTTTCTACTCCTTATAAAAAGCAAATAAAGCCCAGTGGTCTTTCTGACAGATGCGAAGGTGCTTCTATAAGCAATTGTTAACCCAAAAGACAAGCAGTTTGACGACTTGGCGCAAGAGCTGATGCACGTAGGTTCTTGAGTAGAATTATCTGTCCTGCAGTAGATTCCAGGTCACTGGGGCTAGGCAATGAAAGTGCGGACAGACTGGCCAGAAGCGGCAGTGACATGAAACATGATGCGATCAAATTACTTGCTATGTTGTCAAAAAAGGCAGAAATTCACTTGCAGTGGATTCCATCTCACTGTGGCATCAAAGGCAATGAAAGCGCTGATGTTTTAGCCAAGGATGGCAGTAACAAACCACAGACCTACCAGCCACTATCTTTTCAAGAAGTCAAAACTCTCATTAAGAGAAAATCAGAAACATTTTGGAAAACTAACACTGGTTATAACTACGAAAAAGATTTTCTAAAACACTTGAACAGAACAGACCAAGTCACAGTTTTTCGCTTACGTACTGGACACTGCAGACTTAATAAACACTCACATAAATTAGGTATGAGCCAAACAGCTCTCTGCCAGTGCCTTCGTGCTGAACAGACTCCAGAACATGTCCTGCAAGACTGTCCTCTCCTGGCGGAGCTGCGGAACAACATATGGCAACATCAGTAGAGCTGACTATTAAGCTTTGGGGAAACCTAAGAGACCTTGAAAAGACATCCCTGTTTATGACCCACAGTGGATTATGCGCACGACCAGAGATCGCTGAAGAAGAAGAAGAAGAAGAAAAAGAAATTACTTCAACACCCCCCCCCCCTTTTTTTTTCCCCCTCTAAATGCTAAGTTGGTGTAGGACAGTGGCTCTCAGCCTTCTTAATGCCGCGACCCTTTATTACAGTTCCTCACGCTGTGGCGATCCCCCGACCATATAATTATTTTCGTTGTTACTTCATTACTTCATTGCATATATGTATTCCGATGGTCTTAGGCGACCCCTGTGAAAGGGACGTTCCCCCCCCCCCCCCCAAAAAAAAAGAGCTCGCGACTCACAGGTTTAGAACCGCTGATGTAGGACTACTGGCATGTAGTTTGAGACAGTAAACTATACGCTTCTTATAGAAAAGCTTCTGGCCTGTTCCAACCCCAGTAAAAACACATCTGTATGGTACACAGAAATATATGGACTGCACGATAGCTTTCATAAAGGCATCATCTGGCATAATGTTTGCGACAGAGGATCTTAGAAAAAGAAGAAGAAGAGCCTGTAGTATTCTATGTCTCAGGCGATTCAGACGTCCTAGTATCAGTTAACCACATGCAGTCTTCACACTGAAGGTTGACTTCACAGCCGCTTCCTCTTCTTCTTCGCGTTCACCTGCTGTAAACTCCGGCCGACAGTTCTGGTTGTTCATCCACTTTTGGACTGCAGTCCTGTTCCAAACCTGAGTGTTGCGGGTGCATCCGTTTTACAGATCTGACTCCTTTGTATGCAGACTGCTGGTTCCTTGCTTCTCAGGAAAATGCACTCCGACTTCGAAGGAATTTCACAGCCACGTATGTCGCCCTATACCGAAATATTTATCGTGCCTCCTTTTTTTCCCCAGCGGTTTTTACTCTGAGTATTTTCGGATTGACACTGTTACCGCGCTAGTTTTATTCTGCCTTTGTACAATGTAATCTTATCTTTTTTGTCCATAGTATTCTAAGAATCGTTTCTGTAACATTGAATTTAAAAAAAAAATATTATTCTTATCGGAATATAAGCTATTTACGTAAAGGGGTTGTCGCTGTTATCTGCCATATTTGGTGGCGGTCGATACACTCACTAGTCAATACTCCAACATCACTATCACAAAGCAGGTCTTTGGTATAAGTCGCTGCCATCATAACCCACCAGAAAGACTCGATTCTTTCTCAGTGTCCATGCATGGTGCTGCAGTGCCGAGTGATTCTTTTAGTATGATCCGACGGGTCGAGACAGGCTCTATACGCAGACAGTGGAGTCGCCTCCATCTTCGTCCCAGGGTATTTAGGTGTTGGCAGTGAAAAAGATGACAGACTGGCTGATTCAGCATTAGTTGCAAATGGTTGGCCTATGTATCATGCCAAAATTAATAATGCTTTTAGAGAATAACAGAGATAAGATGATTGGAGGCTTCTGGGAGCATCACTGCTAAGAATACGAGAATTAGGAGTAAAGATAGGCACAGCCAGGCATGAGAGATAACCGGCCCAACAAGAAATCTTATTAACCAGCACAGGACTGTCACTGTTAACTGTAGAGTGCTGATGTATACTTTCAAGTAGTAATCTGAGCCAAGGGACGTGTCGTAGTGCCATGCAGATAGCCCAACTGATAACTCATATCCCAATTAATAATAATAGCGATTAAAACCCCGAGGGCTGAACATGATATTTTGAGTGAAAATCAGTACAACCAGTGCTATGTATGAGCCAGTTTTCTTCCATGCTCAAATCTGGTAGAATGCAGTTTTTAAATACTTATTTTCCTTGATCAGTGGTATTCTAAAGATTTATATATAACACTAAAATCAATAGCCCGCCGGGGAGCACTAATCCCTCAAACGCGATCCGTGTTTTCCACTGACCACATAATGATGATGACGCCATGTTGTTGTAAACGTCTGCAGCAATAAACATGTCCGCGGTGCCTGGCGGAGCTTTCGGGGCTGGCAAAGCCGGGGCGCCCTTCGATGCTGTGCAGTGTATCAAGAAACCACAAGTTTTGTTTCGGGCATTGAGTGTGGTGAGTGCATTTATGATTATGCATTTGTCACTTGTGGAGAATGTGTGTCGCCAGACATCCCCAACAAACCTAGCATTACGACGCTTATGTTGCGCTATGCAAAAAAATAGATAGCAGACTATGTAGCGTATTTTTAAAAGCTGGGTTCCCTTTGCAACTTTCAGTATTGAAGAAGCAAACAGTATATTGCACAATTTATTGCCTGGCATATTTCGCGGTAAATATTAATGTTTGTACCGCAGAGTTGAGTCAACATTCAGCGGAGCACAGAATTTAATCCTTGGCTGAAACACCTACCATAAATTAAATATTAATTAATCCGTTGTTTAAATGTAAGTGCAAGAAATGTTACGATTTTAATTTTACAAAGCAACAAGTGTGTCTCTCAAAGTGGGAAATCACTTTTACAGTAAGCAACAAGTGTATCTCTATAACTCTATAACTTATACACTTATAGTACAAACTATAAGTGGGTTATCCCTGGTGCATATTTAGCAATTGCTTTATAATACCATACATGCTGATGACTTTGCAGTTTGGACAGCCTCCGAATACACTACCACAGCCTCATATCTGTTACAGAAAACTGTGGAAAATGTAGAAGCCTGGACCAAAAAGTGGGGTCTAAAGCTAAATAATTCAAAAAGCACAGCATCACTTTTCTCTCTCTCTCCCAAAAAAGAAAAAATCGAAATTCGGATAAAAAAACCAGCTAATTCCACAGACTGACACTCCTACCTTTCTTGGCGTTACACTTGATTCGCGACTAACTTGGAAGTCACACATAGAAGCAGTACAGGGGAAAGCATTCAAGAAGCTTGCAGTGATGAAAAAAATTAGCGGGTACCACATGGGGAGCTACCTCCAGAATCCTAAAACAAGTATATACTGGAGCAGTCAGGCCAGTCATGGAATATGCCTCCACTGCATGGGCTGCAGCAGCTGAGACAACAATAGGAAAACTGGACAAGGTTCAGAATATGGGATTAAGGATTGTTCTCGGAGCCATGAAATCCACCCTCATCAGAGAAAAGATAGCAGATACTGAACCACTCGAACTCAGAAGACAATACAAAACTCTTTTACAGTATGAGAAATTAAAAAGACTTCAAAGTCCCCCACTGCATTTTAAATTTCAAGAGAGAACAAAAAACAGACTGAAGCGTCAGAGCCCCAACCACATTGCTAGAGAACTGTACATACAGCACCAAGATTTGCTTGAAAGAGATGTAGCTCTGTGCGAAAAACTTAGGCCAGAGCCATGGACAAGCAAGCCAGAAAAGGCAAATGTAGTTCTAAAGGTACCATGGATCACTTCAAAAGGTGCTCAGACGGAGACACAACAGAGAACCATGGCTCTTTCTATGCTTGATGAGAAGTATCCAAACACCACTTGGACTCAGGTTTTCACCGACGGCTCTGCTATAGATGCAGTCAGAAAGGGGGGTTGTGGAATATACATTAAACCCCCTAGCAGTAGAGCAGAAACTCTCTCTCTACCAGCAGGTGACATCTGCACTAACTTCAGAGCTGAGGCAACTGCCCTCCTTTCTGCAGTCCAACATCTCATCACTCAAGAACACAGAGGGCACAAAATTGTTATACTTAGTGACTCATTGTCTGTTCTCCAAGCACTATCAAGCAACAAACAAAACAAACTAATTGCAGATCTAAGGACCAACATTGGCTTACTCTCCAAAGAAGCAGAACTGGTGTTACAGTGGATACCAGCCCACTGTGGTATTCAAGGAAATGAGAGAGCAGGTGAGTTGGCAAAAGCTGGCAGTAATCTTCCACGACCTCATCCACCACACAGCTACAAGGAAACCAAAACAGCACTAAAGCAGTCTTTCAAGCGGGATTGGAGAAAGCAGAATAGAGATTACAGACCAGAGAGTGACAGCATAAACAAACTCAACAGAAAAGAACAAACATCAATTTTTAGACTTCGGACTGGACACTGTGGTCTTCGAGCACACCTGTACAGGATAGGCATAAAAGAATCTGCTGCCTGTGATTGTAGAGCAGAAAGACAGACCCCTGAGCACATACTGCAGTACTGCCCTTACCTCTCCCTGCAAAGACTGTGGATCTGGCCCAGGGGAAGCTATGGGGGACCGGTGGCGACCTTAAACGCACAATCCTATTTTTTACCCAGACGGGACTCAATGTGTAGCATGACTGATGTCGAACGCAGAAGAAGAAGAAGAAGCAATTGCTTTGGCCTGTCCCAGCCTCAGTACTTTCCACATATAATATATCCTTCTTCTTCTTGTTCACCGGCTGTGAATTCCGGCAGTAAGTCGCGGTTGTTCGTCCAAAATGGACTTTTGGCTTTTACCTTGACCTGAGTTTTGCGTGTACATCCGTTTTACTGGCTTATTTGTTTGCAGTTCTCGTTCCCCGCCTCTCCGGCAGATGTACTCCGACTTCGGAGGAAATAATATATCCATGACCTGCATTATTTTCCTTGTTAATCATGCCATAAGAGCCCATCAGTTGGTGCCCTATAGAAAAAACCCATAAAATGATCATTTTCCATAATCCATCATTCAGTCACATTTTACAAAAAACTTTACGACCTGTTTCTCAGTAGTGGATCCATTTGAAGAGATGAACTAAATGGAATAGTTTATCAACACTGAGCGCAGACTGTGACAGGCACACACTCCTTTACAACTATGGCAGCTGTGTAAAAAGATGACAAGTCGTATAGTAGTTCCACGCCTCATTGGTGTTTATCTGTAGTAATCATACTCTTCCTCATCATTGTGTGTACTGCCAACAAACATGAGTGGTCATGTTTTACACAATTACCAGAATCACAGATCAAGTCAGCACTCCTGCACCACCCTTCCTTGCATGTTTTCCCCATATGGCCAAGCCATCCAGGTATTTATTGCTTAGCTTTACCAATATACTTTTTCCATCAATCTTGCTATTTGTCACCAAGTTGCTGAGTCTATTCCTTCTCATAACATGTCCAAAAACACTGTCTACATCTGATTTATCTAATCAGTTTACATTTTTTATCTGTCTAAAAGGAGGACTGCTTCAATGATTATTCTATATTTCCATGATATTCTTGTAATTCTTCTTAAGAATCGCATTTCCACTGCAAGTAAGTGTCTCTCAGCATGTCTGCCTATTGTCCATGTCTTACATGCATTTATAAAGGTGAGAGGATCGACTTTTTGCACTGGATTTTATCCCATATGGCTTGTGGCCTGCAGCTCAGATGAGCAACATCTCATGTGGGCGGTTTCTTATGGGTTAGTCCTCTGTCCATACATACAATGTTAGCCTTCAGTGTTGTCATCACCATGTTGAGGCAAACTGTGACAACTAGCCAATATCAGCCCTCTGATTATGCTCCAATATCTGTCAGATAGGAGTCCCACGGTGCAACAGCAAAGTCTTCAATTTCCTACCTTCAGAAGTCCTACTGACTGGCAGAAAGGTTCAGAAGTCTGTTACCATTTGCCCCACTCGCCAGATTGTCGGTACCAAACAGGGAGGGCATGTCTGATACATGCTTTTTCCATAATGTCCAGGTGAAACAAGATTAAAGGTGTCTAATGTGTATAAAAAAAGAATGGACCAATTTGCATGGTCATCGAAGATCCGGACCTGCATGCTGCTCCCTGCTGATCTCTGGAGGGCGAACCCATGATGAGTGGAAAGCTCAACATTCGGATGTCAGGTTAAGCAGTCATGGGCAATACATAACAGTTCTTTGGGTGAGCCTGGTACCAGAGCATCATGTGTCAGCTCCGATGCCCATGATCTGCCTCTGCCTTCCATTGAGGGCTGACCAGTCTACTAGCGGTTGCCTGGGATGAGTTCTCCAGGGGCGACATCTGTAGATTAGTGACAAAGAGAATCCCTCACAGATAAGATAAGTGAAAAGAAGAAGATCTAAAGGGTTCAGTCTCTCAGTAGAATGGCTAGCTGCCTGCCAAGAGCATCACACAAAATACTAACTCTGTGGCTTCTAAAACATTTTTCAACACTGCTGTTTTCTTGCTGCATAGATAAAAGATTTAATTAAAGATGGTTGTTAGGCACCTTGTCTGTGAACAGGTTTTGTTCTTCTGTTTGCAGCTGTGTGCTATCATTGTTTTTGGGTGCATCTCATCAGACGAAGTCTCCAGGGAACCATCTAATGATGACAGCTGTATCATGAATGACGATGGTAATGCATGCGGGTATGGTATTGGTATTGGAGTTCTTGCATTTCTCATCTGCCTAGGATTTCTTGTAGTGGATGCATTCTTCGAAAACTTGAGCAGTGTCCAGCACAGGAAATATGCAGTATTGGCTGATCTGGGATTCTCTGGTGGGTTGTATTTTACACATGTTCATTATTTCTGTTGAAAACTTTGTTTTCAGTGTAATTTGTGAGTGTGTGTGTGTGCAAACAAGAAAGAATGAGAGAGAGAGAGAGAGAGAGAGAGAGAGAGAGAGAGAGAGAGAGAGAGAGAGAGAGAGAGAGAGAGAGAGAGAGAGAGAGAGAGAGAGAGAGAGAGAGAGAGAGAGAGAGAGAGAGGGAGAATGATTAATTTTGTGGATTTAGAATATGCTGCAAGAATTTGTTGGTGATATTCTGTAAAACAGTTGAATGGGAAAATTTATTGACTTCAGAAGTAACTACCTACCTGTTTAACCAGGCAAGTACAGGTTCATGACAGTATCTTTTAGTTTGCACAAACTTGGAAGGAATTTATCATTTGCACTTCAAGGAATCATAGGACTCTGTTACTGGTTGACATATAAAGATATGGTAGTGAACCTATACTAAAGTTAGTTGCGTATCCTTTACAGGACATGGCAGAACCAAGCCTAACAGCCCCTGGCTGTTGTGTGGTTTCTCTAGGCAATTTACATCCAGTAGTTTGCCATTGCTTTCTGGACGGTCAGCTTTCTTGATACCACTGTTAAAACCAACGCAAGGCGCATTGCTCGCAGCTGGGATCGAACCTGGCATCCCAGCATTACGAAGCGAAGTGTTCGCATCAACCTAGCCACAGAGCAGAATAGCCTTGGTAAAACAGGCAGTTATTCGTGGTTCGGCTGATTTGAATATATGATATTATATATATATATATATATATATATATATATATATATATATATATATATATATATATATATATATATATATATATATACATATATATATATATATATATATATATATATATATATATATATATATATATATATATATATATATATTTTTTTTTTTTTTTTTTTTTTTTTGGTAAAGGATTCATTTCTTGCTTAATTGTATTCAGTTATTACCAAAGTATGCACCTGACGAGATACTGAAATATGCCAGGCAGTGAATTATGCCATCGGTTGTTTGTGTCTTTTTATTCCAGTTTTAAATATTAGGAGTCATAGTTAGGGAAACATTTCTGTTATTATTTTTTTAACCAATTCTTTTCTTTGTCTGTGGGTTTCAGAATAATAATATCTAATCTGCTCTGTGGGCCATATTTGGTATCTCAGTGCCTTTTTCTGCAAAGTTATTGAAGTAAAAACAATCTAATTATTTCCACCAATTTATTTAGATTTTCTGTAATTTAGTCTCCAGTGATAGTATTTTACTGAGCAACACATGGCCACATTGTGGGTGTTGTTGCTGGAGACAGCTGTTCCTGATTCTCTGTAAGGTAAACATGTACACTCTTACCTCCTCACAGCCCAGCACATCTTTGTTAATACTTAACCCCCTCCCCCCCTCAAGTATCTTGATGTGTACTTATTTAAACGATGCGATTTAAAAAAAAAAAGAATAAAAATAATGCATAGCTACTGAAAGGAACATAATTTTGTCATTACATTTTGACATTCAAAATCTTTGTTATTTATTGGGAGAAGCTGTTTAAATTGCACACAAAAATATCTTAGAGTTTAACCAATCAGTTCCAGTTCTTTTTGCATCTAGGTCCTCCATATTTTTAATGCATACAGGCTTTCTGGTCAACTAATAAAAATGCACTGTCTGATGTCCGTTTTTTTTTTTTTAAACAGTTTAATTACAGTTATAATGGGTTACACATTTCCAAAGTATTTTTACTGTTGTATTTTAGCACTGTGGACATTCTTGTGGTTTGTCGGCTTTTGCTACATGACAGACGCATGGCGGCGCGGTGATCAACACTTTCCTGGCCGCAGCAAAGTCCAAGCAGCAATCGCATTCTCATTCTTTTCCATTTTCTCATGGGTAATTATATCTAATCTGTTTTATTCTTAGCATGGTATAGTAGCTTCAGATGGCATGTAGATTTGACCCTAAAATATGCATATCAGGTTTATGTATGTGTGGATGGCTGAGGGATAAGTTGTCTGCTTCTGGATATTTGTTTGATTCTTGTTAAAGCTTGGTGTTTTCAAAATCAGTTCCTCAACCCATACAAGACTCTAGGCACGTACCAGCACTGGTGCAAGTGCTGTAACAAATAAACAGACAATGTTTTCTACCCCTCTCCATGAGATCCACATTGATGATCCTGTCACACTGTGTCAGCCCTTATGTTCCACATTGATGATCCTGTCACACTGTTTCTGCCCTTATGTTCCACATTGATGATCCTGTCACACTGTTTCAGCCCTTTTGTTCTCTGTAGGCATCATTTTATCTATGCTGCATACTGAGCCATGTGAAATGAATCATTAGTTAAGAGAGTTTTTTTCCAGATCAGTATTTGAAATTTTGCATGGATATCAGGTACAGTCCTGGGAAGTAAAGGTGGCCAGCGTGATACTGACCACATCACCCACTCAGTGCCTTTTGGTCTATAGAATATAGGTCTAGCCCTATATGCCAAATACGATTGAAGCTGTGGAAAAGGGTCCTTAATTTTTTGTTTTTTACTTTACCTAATTTGAAATTATGGTAATCATCATAGACATCAGTTCAACAGCAGATGAGTAAAAATTCACACCCAAGTGACCTTATTGTACACGCAGATGGGTCTGTAGTGAGAGGTAAAAAGAGCCAGTGGGGTTTTATTGCAAAGATGAATGGACACCATTTGAAAACAAGAACCTTTCATATATTATCACAGCATCAAGTATGAGAACGGAGGTGGAGGCAGTATTGACAGTTTTCATAGGGCTAAAATGCAGTACAGCCACACAATTTATAATTGTAACAGACTCAGATCAAATGCTTTGGAAAATGTAAATTAGACTGCTACGCTTAGAGTCCTTTGAATCGCTTGATAAGACTCAGGTCAAGAGCGTATGAATTTTTTGCCCAGGACAGTTTAATGTATGGGGAATTGACCAGGCTGATAGACTGTCTCCTGTGGGCGTTGAGCTAATTTATAATAAAATAGACTGGGTGAAATCTTTCTAGGATCAATTGGACAGGGCAACAGAACAGACAGAAATCATTCTTACGTGGAGGAAGGAGACAGAGCATGCATGGGACTATCCATGGTGCAGTTATATCAGTTTTGAATTGATTGATTCATTCAATAATTCGGTAATTGTTATATTTTGTTGCTGTTTTGAGTATTTGCCAACAGCACCAGGAATTGAAATCATCATGTAGGTCGTTTGCAGAATGTTGCTTCCATCTCAGCCCAGCAGAACACCTTTTAATCTTTTCCCAATTCTCCTGTCTCATATCTTCATTCTCAAGGTACCTCCAGTGTCCATTTCTGTTGATCGACTCCTGTCTCCTCTTTCTTCTTTGCGGTCATCAGCTGTAAAGTTCTGGTTGTTCATCCACTTCAGCAGTCCTGTTCCAAAACCTGTGTATTGCGTGTGCATCCGTTTTACAGATCTGACTCATTTGTGTGCAGACTGCTGGTTCCTTGCCTCTCAGGCAGATGCACTCCGACTTTGAAGGAAGCTCCCAATTAGTCGACTCTTACGACATGCTTTTGGGTAGGCAGTGGTTCTATTCTTGTTTTCCCTATAATAGGGCCCTGGAACCCACACGGGGATGTCTCCTCTTTCAATAATCATGCTTTATAATACAGCTTTTTATAAACCACTGTTGGTTTTAATGTGGCCAGAACTGTTCAGTTCCCAAAGCATGTTGTTCTTTATGAGTCTATTTCCTTGATGTTCAGGTCCAGTAGAATGTCAGTACTTTTCTTCTTTGTAATGCAGGGTTTTGAAGAATTTTTCTGAAATATTTAAGTTTAACACATCATTTTCTGCCCATATAAGAACCATAGTTTTGAATACTGTTTTAGGATAGATCTTGGCTTCTGTCTCCAGCAGTTGTCCTTTTTTGTCGTAGTATAAATGCTGCATTCATTCCATAGAGGATATCTGAAGCAGCCACATGCATGGATATCTTTAATAAATGTATTACAAGCAGGCAAGAATACCAGAACTAATCACCATGAGAGGAGTATTCTAATCTCTGGTCAAGCCAGAGATCTTCTGTGTCTGAGGGAAAGATAAACCCACTACCCGTGACACTGTGTGCATATAACATTTAGATTGTCTTTATTTGAACCCCAAGGAACATCTTTAGTATCTTTTCATATTTCAGTTAAATTATTTTATAACGGGGGACATTCTAATGAAACATTCATTAACTTTTTGATACCTGAGAATTAAATGGTATAATAGAATCACTAATGTGGAGCTTTGAGAGAGAAGTAAATGAATTCTAGTGAATAAATCAGCAAGGAAACGGAGCTGGTGTTGGGTGTCGCATCCGATCTGTCAGAGGCATCGCATGCTGGCCAGGTGTCTAGGGGATTTAGTTATTTATATGTCAGTCCTCCACACCTATTCACTGGATTTCCTTCATCAACCAATCACACCACCCACTTTACTTGGCACGGCTGATGATGATTATAACTGTCGTAATGGAAGGCCAACCCAAACAAGAGCGCCACCATAATAAAGCACACGCAACAAGCTAACATATCCTTAGGTAACCACCATTGTCTACGAGTACTGTAACATAGTACACCACCAGTCTCTTTATTGTGGACGAACACATTGTGAGGAAGATTAAATGGTGATTACACTGTCAAGTCTCCTACTGCCTTCCAAATACTCAAATCGGCAGGCTCTCCAGACATGAACAGAACACCCCAGCAAACTATCTACCTGGTGCCTGCTATGGGCATCTCACACCCGATCACACAGATACACCTATGTGATTTGCAGTGACGATACTGTGACGGCTCCTTCTCTAAAGGACCCTGCCCCATGCCTCAGGGTAGAATCACCTCTTGGTGAAAGACGCCAGACCTCCCGTCTGCTACCCCAGCCACTCAGTGAAGCATCACTGACTGACATCCCGTTAATCAGTGTCTGATACTTCCCCATCACAATTCCACTTTGGTCAGCTCACACAAGTTTACCAGCACCTTCTGTGCACTTAAGGACACTGTTAACCAACGCCACATAGTCACAACCATGTCGACCCCGCACACCTGGCCTGCATGTCCATTTTAGAAATCACAGTGACATAATTCTGTAATACACCAAAACCACTGGACAGTTCACAGGAGCTTCACAGAATAAAATCACAGAACACAACTGTCGTACCAAGGCCATACGTGCACAAGACTGGAACAAAAAGCGCACACGCCTCCTCACAGTTAGACAGACTGAAAGCTTCTGACCGATTCAAACTACCACAGGACTTTTCCCACCTGCGTTAAGTTCCACATGGATCTCACTTTCTTACCAACACTCGGGGTTTACAACCCACTCGTGCTGTCGACCCACACCAAAATATTTGTGATGTCCTCAAGACTTAAATCATCAGTGGCTCATGCTCTACTGTCTTCCAGTGAACCCAGATATTTACATTCCTAACCTGTCAACCAAATATCACCAAAGTCCTGGTTTCATTAACTCTTTATCCCCGTGTGATTTCCGGGGTCCCATTGTAGGAAAAACAAATATAGACACACTGCCTGCCCAAAAGCATGTCATAAGAGTTGACTAAATTGGAGCTTCCTTCAAAGCTGGAGTAAACCTTCATGAGAGGCAAGGAAACAGCAGTCTGCATGCAGATGAGTCAGACCTGTGAAACGGATGTGCACGCAACACTCAGTTTTTGGAACAGGACTAGAGTCCAGAAGTGGACAAACAACCAGAACTATGCCGGAGTTTAAAGCCAGTAAACGCGAAGAAGAAGAAGATTAACTCTTTAAATCCCACAGTGATTCTGCACACAACATTGGGTAGGACACGCATGGAGCAAACCTGAGAATGGTACGACTAGAATGTCTTTGTACTGGAATCCACAGGGTCAGAGGAAGAAAAGCAGACAAAACAAAACATTGAGAAAGAAACTAAAGAGTGAAGTTTAGAAAATAGAGGAGGACTTTGGGTGAGCAGCATATACAAAGGATAGGAAGAGTTGGTATTAGTTGGTTGAGGGGCTGTGCTCCAGGGGGAGATAAAGGTCACCAGAAGAATAAGACATGCTAGAGTTTAGCTGAGTTGAGTCAAGAATTGACATCACAGCACTCGCAGGCATTCCCATGTGTGCTCCGTCCTCATCTTCAGCAGCCAGCCCAGAGTTCCAGTACTTATGTTACCGGTCACAGTCTGGTTATATGTCCGTCTTGCCTTTCTTCTGAGTGTAGTGAGCCTGCCATACCCTCTGGTTACACCCAGGTGCCTCATTCTCTCCAGGCCATAATAATCTTGTAAAAAATTATATGCCAATTACATTTCAGCATTTGTTGTTGTTGTTGTTTATCATTATGGTTACACAATTTTACAGGGAGCATTGGCTTTTCTGGCACTACGTCGCTACCGTTTGGGATCTCAAGAAACTTTTGATTATGGATACGAACATGATCCGAATGCATCATCTCCATACAGGTCCTTCCCTGGCAGCGAGATAGGCGACCCCTACCACCAGCCACCCTTCAGTCAGCAGAGAGAGACCCCTGATTATCCACAACCTACTTACTGACTCCAGCTGTACGTTGTTTCTGTAGCGGTAGATTTTCTCAGTGTTTGCAACTGTTGCAGGGGTGTGCTAGTGTTCAGTGTTTCACACATTTGCTGTCTCACCTGGTGTAGAGTGTTAGTTTGATGTCTGCCTGTACCTGCAAGTTGTTTGCTGTCATAACTTCATGTGATTACAAGTGTTTTTTATATATTTTTTATTATTGCCACTCTAGTAGTGTGTAGTTTCCTGCCACATTGATGACAGAATTGTAACAGAAACTGGACCTTATAAGTCAGATGAAAATGATTTTGTACGAAAAGCTGAAGATCTTGTCTATGAGATGAATGATACTGTAATAAATATTTATTTTCTGCCGTGTTAGTGGCAGAATTGTAGCAAATGCTTCACTCATTATTAAATTGTGTAAAGAGGTAGCTTTGTGACAGGGAGTGACACACATTGTATGACATGAGTGATTGGTATGTCAATCCTGATTGATCTGCCTCACCATTTTGGTTGTGTACGTGAAGGGGTATTTTTATACTACGAGATCTCGAAGCTTATCTGGGCTGTATGCCTATGGTTAACGCTTTTTTCCTGGTGTATTTTCTCAGTGAAAGACATTGTCTGTGAAGTTATAAAGTTTACACTTTGCAATAGCTCAACTGAAATAAAACCATCTATTATGTCATGCAAAAGAAGGCCGCTGAACAATAGTGCCCAATCTGTACTTCTCTGTGGTTCAAAGCTAAGGCATTTCTTAAGGGTAGCTTTGAAAGTTAGTGTGGAAAGTTGAAGTGGGGTGCTTGGAAATGGATCAGCAAATAAAAGTGCAACAGAAACTGACATTGAGGTAATAGGGATGCATTTAATACACACTTATAAGGAACAAGCAAGCATTGTTATCATAAGTAAAATGTAGAGGCTGGATCCCAAAGGCATGGAGAGCTTAAGGTGAACATAAGGAAATCTTTTTCTTGTCAAGAAAAAGTAATGTGTGTGAAGTTTCTGTCTGGTGTCTCAATGAACGAGTTAGTTTATATTCACATCTGTATATACTACTAAATATTTTAGTATTTTTGTGTGTGACACCATAAATTATGAGGTGATTCCTGTGTGTTGGATAATAGTGTGAAAGTGTGAGTTGATGATTTCAATTCTGTACACTGCAGAGAAGGTTAAGAGACTGTATTTGGCATGTTTATATAACTTTTATGCAGGGATTTCTTGATTGTATTTATGTGCCGTTGCATACAAGTCAACCTGGTGCAATAGGTGACCTCAAGATTATTGGTCACAATTCTGAGTTAGGTATATACCTATATAATATATTGCATACCTGCTATATAAGTCGACTTCCAGTTTTGGAAAGATTTTTCAGGCTTGAAAGTTTGCCTTATGTGTCACAATATATGGTAAGTGAAAAAATGCCATACATCTTTTTATTAGTCTAGTTAAAATTCTGAACCATGAAGTGCTGAACGCACTTGAGCACCTGAAGGGACTGTAGTAATAAGTAACAGCTGTGGCTCACAGTGGTGAGAAAAATCCAGGAACAGATACAATAGTAAGGATGTGGCTTGTGAAAACTGTCAGATATGGTTATTTATTGATGATTTCTATGGTCAGCTGGCCTTGTCAGCTTTGTTCTGAGCCAGAAAACTGATATACAGGTTATGTTGAAACAATGCCATGACCTCCGTTTCCTGTACAGTAATCATAAAACAGTCAACAGGACACCAGCCATAGTGCAGCAGCCTCCACAACAGCCAGGATACAACTGTGACACACTGTATACAGGTGGGACACAACAAGCAGGACATAAAAGCAAGACACAGCCATAATACAGAAACCATGACAGAATATCCCACACAGTCCATGACACAATAGCTAAGACACAGCATTTGTCATGCAGTAATTATTAGAGTATTAATGTGAAACTGAAAATAAAACATAAACTCTTTCCTTCTCCCTTAGCTCCCACCCCCCCCCCCCTTTCTTTCCCCCCCCCCCCTTTTTTTCCCCCATCACCCGAATTCTGCCATGGAAGCCGTCAAGTGCAACCTACTTTAATAAAAAAAATATCCAGTTGTTGAGATATCTCTAACAGGCACAACTTACATCATATTAAATTTGTTACTTATTTGATTTCTGATCAGTATGACGGATCCGCAGGTATACTGTTTTTTAGTCGTGGCAAGTTTTTGATCAGGACATTAGTTGGCCATTGCATTTTCCTCCATATAGTTCCATCTCCCAACTACCGAGTTGAGTGCGTAGCAAGACGCTGTGAGCTGCAGCTTTCATTTGGAAAGCTTTTCGACTGGGCCCAGTGTAGCTTGTGTTGTAAGCTGCAGATAACTGGTGTTGCCTTATGTGGTTAATTGCATGTGCAGCTACTGATTTGTTGTAACTGCTGCATCCATCAGTGATCAGTAGCATTTCTAGTGTCAGACTGTTTATGTTGGCACTTCTGATGGCTGCCTTTTGCATTTGATGCGTTTGTTTGCTGTTGACTTTGCTGAGACTGTAGTCTGTGTCAGTTTTGTTCACAAGCAGCAGTGATGGAAATCCTGCCTGGTTTTCATTGGCTGTGGAACAGAGCAGCTATGGTGTGATATGTTTGCTGCGAAGTTGAAACTGTCATTACCTGACTTGTATCTGACAGTCTTTACCATCGTATTCACTGTCCTGTGATAAGAGTGGTTATAACATCCACAAGCACCTTTAGGCTAAGAGTATTTTACTTAAGAGTGAAAATACACATTTGTTTTATATTTTTACAATTAATAGACCCAGGAAGATGTGAGCGCAGGTCTCTGAGGAGACCCATGAAATTCAGGTTGAGTTACCCTACACCACTTGTGATTGTGATGTTTGCAGTCTTTTTTTGAAATGCTGACTGTGTTAAACTTTCTAGTCATGATGTTTTTATGTTGAATTATAAAACAAGCAATATGGGCTACATGATTTACATGTGTATTTATGAAAACTGCTACTTCCCTTTTTTTTATGTTATTGCATACTTTTATCAGAAAGATTTCTTGACTGGACTGCTATTTTTGTTTTTCATGCTCAGCTCATGTCATTAGAGGAACAGTAGTCGATTTTTCATGTTTTCTTCATTAGATGAACAGTAAAGGAGAAGATACTTACAATTCTTCTTCTCCCACATTCCATATTTTTTGTTAGTTTCAGACTTGTGTATGCATTATCTTTGACTGAGTAGAGAACACAGTTGGAAGGGCTCCATTTTGCTGCTGATATTGCTCTGCTAAGTGAAAACAGCAAAGAGATGCAAAGAAAAATACATGATTTAGCAAAAATAGCTTCAAAGGTTGGTCTGCAAGCAGGTTGTGAAAGGGAGTTGAGTTAAGTTGATTCAAGAACCGACATCACAGCATTCAGAGCCTTCCTATAAGTGCTCCGTCCCCATCTTAAGCAGCCAGTGCAGAGTTCCAGTACTAATGGTATCAGTAGCATTCTGATTAAATGTCGGTCTTGCCTTTCCTTCGAGCCTCGAGCATCTGTCAGAACCTCTCATCACTCCCCCCTGCATCAGTCTCACCAGACTGTGGTGATACATCTGCTCCTTTGAACTGTACACGCTCTCCCACAAGGCACTAATCACGTCTGCCTTATCATGCATCAGTATTCCACCAAGTTGTGCAGAGCCAGCCAGTCTGTTCACCAGTTCATTTTCCAGCACACTGGCATTTCCCGGAGAAAAAAATCCAGATAGTGCTCCTCACCCATGTTTTCCGCAGTGAAGCATGCCACTCTGCACGAAGCATGCCGTTCCTGATCTTTCTCAGCATGCTTTCTGAGTCAGTTACAGTTATGATGTGTGTGTGTTGTGTTCTCTAACCAGTGGAAAGCTTCATTGACCACCTCCACTCTTAGGCTGGATGTTGTGGTATCATATGCTAGGCTCTCCTGCACCAAACGTCAACCATTATCTTTTGCTGGACTGGATTCCATCCATTGTATTGAATTGATTGCACAGGATAGAATGGAGTGGAGAAACAGACTGTGAGTCCTATGTGACATAACAGCACAACAAGACAGTGATAATGATATGCATTCTCTGGATAAATCACTCATACTGCAGAGATCATGCTGTAACTGTGTCATGGATTTCTCCAGCCAGAACCAGTGGTATAGTGACAGATGAATGAAATACTAGGATGCTTCAGAAAACACACCACAGTAACACAAAATACTGCTAGTCAATATCTTAAGCACACAAAATGTTTGTTAATGTTATTACTTTTATTATAAGGTTTTGTTCAGAGAAATTAAGAGCAAGATTAAGAACACTAGGAAGACCCAGTTTCAAATCCTCCATAAGGTCATGGACTTTTTTTTCTGTTTAATGGCAAAAATTAAATCCTTACACACACAGTCCCTAGTGACAGCACTAGCAGTGCCGCCCTAAATACTCAGGCTGAGAGACGCACCCCCACCTAGAGTGCAGAAGTGGTACATACAGACAGTATATGACAGGTTTTTGTTAAAAAGAGAAACACATTAGAGAAAGAAATGATTGAATAATTTGAAACAAAAAGAGCAAATTTTTCTGACTCACTTTGGTAGACAGTGTGCACCCTGGTTGAAATATGAAACAAAATATCTGATAGTGGTGCCCTCATACTACCACACAACTGACTAGGGAAGGTACTGAGCCTCCTGACAGAAGTGGCGGATCTGAATGGGATGATCCTACGTAGATTTTCACCGTCACATTCTTTTTTTTTTTTAGATGTGCCCCCAGCTGTCCCGTCAGTGCTACAATAAAAATGCCAATTGTCCAGTTCTATACAAATCTGCAGACTTTATTACATTTTATAGTTGTAGATACTTCTCATTTCAGGAGTTCATAAAAATTTCATTGCAGCATTTTTCTTCATTGCCATTAAACAGCATATTGTTTTGTTTTATTTCTTGGCAACAGTGTATCGGGTATTAAATACTGTTGTTAAGCGAGCAGTTAATCTTTTCACCCCGGTGGCCTAGATAAT